AAGAGCAAAGATTTTGTAATGTTGTTCAATTATGTGTTGCTCTGACCTTATAACAGTGTGTAGCCCATAGCAAGCTCTCAACATGTATTTCTCGAATGATTGAATGAATGGAAGAGTGAATGACATTAAGAAAGTCTAAGGTATTTCTATAAAAATAAAAAGCTCATATTTAGAGAAACTTGTTGATTTAACAGAGAAGTGAGCATGCCTTCATGCCATGCACTGTTGTGCTGTGGATATATATTTCTATTATAAGTTTAAAGGCTTGCCTATCATACCTAACACATGCAAAATAAAATGTAGGTTAAGCCCCTTTGTAGCTGAAATTAAAGCCAGCCTCTATAATGCTGGAGTCAAAACAGGAGTGAAAGAAGTGCTGTGAGACTGAGAATCATATTGTAATTTACATAAACATAAAACTAGGATGGAGCTGAAAAATGTAATGCCCTTCACAGGTTTCACCTGATTTCAGGCACATTAACAGAGTCTCTTATATATTTTTTCTTACATAACAATTATTTTTGACAGCATACTAAGACCTTCAGAAAATGAGTTTATTTACAAGTTTTATAAATGCTGGCATATTTTTGATATCAAGCAAATAGATTGAATCCTATACATCTCTGCCTCTAATTTTTCATTTGGCTTCCAAACCAGAAGCTTCCCAATCAAAAGCAACAAGTAGAGGACACATATGGTAGAGTTCCTTCCATAGCCTGTATCTTTCAAATGATCACTACTAGGTCCTGAGACTTATGGCCCTAGAGAAGAGGAAAGGTAGACCTTGAGGGGTAAAGACCCAGCCCTATTCTAAGCAGACATTGTGGAGAGTAAGAGAGTTAAAAGGGATAAATTTAAGGGTTCTTGATACTCTCACTATTTGCCTCAAGGGATGGAGGTTGTTTATAAACATCCAGATAGATAAGAAGCCTGAGCACATCAGGCTAGTAGCATCAACCATCAACTCCTGAACTGCTGGGGAACTAGAAAGCTGGTGAGTTAAAGGGAGAGAAAGAGAGGTGTCGAATGCAGCTGTTTCCAATGACACACACAATCATTGGGATAAGATGGGAAGCCAGGTCTCTGGTGTTAGCATATGAAGCCCAGTCTCCTGAGAGAATTGAATCTCCTTTAAAGCACATTCATGCAGAAAGCACACTCCTCCATCTGTTCTACTGTAAGAGGGCAGGGAGGATCCAGTGGACACTTACAGGGGAAGACTTAAGGACCCAGTCCCCTCTACTACCTTATACAGGACATACCTCTCTCCACCAGGTGTTCAAATGCCATCTTAGAAAAGAAAATGGAGGGAAAAGGAGGCTGAAATGCAAAGAAGTTATTCCGAAGAAACAAATTAACATTTAAATGATCTCTTGAATTTTTAGAATTGGATAATTTTAAAACTGTGTTAAGGTTGAGCTTCATGTTTGCCCTGCCCTAAGGTAACCAGCAGAGGGAGCCTCATAAGGAAGATCCAAGTGATTTTATAAAACTGCAAAAACAAATGTTCTCTTTATATTAAAATGCTGTGTAAAACTAAATTTTCATCCTTGCAATATATATGTGCAATTGACATTCCAACATGTGAATATATATGAATTTATAGGTAATCTAAACAGTAATTCACCAACCTGATACTTGCATGTATTCATTCATTCAGTGAATATTTAGACTGCCTGCTCAGAACCAGACAGTCATGTAGGCACTCGAGATGTATCAATGAATCGATGAACAGGACATACAATATATCATCCTACACATTAAAGGTAATAATATGTGTGTCTGTGTACAAAACCAGTAACAAATTAAAATATGATATAATTTCAGACAAGAATAAATTAAGGATGAAATAAAACAACATTCAGGGTAGGTCCATTTTAGAAAGAGTCGTCAGGGGCGACTAAAGGATTTCTGCAAAATTGGAATGAAAAGGATGTGAGCCATCAACTTTCTGGGGGAAGACTGGGCCTGGCAGCATGGACAGCAAGTGTGAAATGCCTGGAATTGTCACATATGCTTTTGTTAAACCTTTCTGCTGCTTCTCCCTTCCAGGCACATAGTAGCGTTGTACTTTATGACACAGTTGTATTGTGGTGGGTTGGATGGTAAATTCTGGCCGACAGATTGTGAAAGGAAATGCTGCGGTCCACTTCTGGGCTGATGCATTTACTTGTTGGCTTGAAATATACAGTGTTTCTTTTTTTTCCCCTTTCAGAAAAATAATTAACAGTGTTCAAGATATGGAGTCCTCTCTCACCCTGGGCCTCCTTAGTAAAAATGATGGATATGAAAAGACAAAGCCTTTAAGTTTTAAGAGTTTGAGATTTTGGAGTTAATACGTCACTGCAGAATCACTGAGCCTATGCTGATGTGAAAGGGGTGAGCTTAGTATGTGGGGCTGGAGAAGAGTAGACCCCAGAGCAATGGGAGGAGATGAAATTAAAGAGGTAAATTTGGGCCAGATGAGTTAAGACTATGAGAGCCACGATTCCAGGTTTAGATTTTTAACTGAGAGTGGTGGGAAATTATTGTAGGGGGTGATGAAACACACACACACACACACACACACACACACACACACACACACACAACTTTAGCCTGTTCTGTAATGCTTTGAAACTTATGTTAAAACATGTAATGATTTCTTTCTTTAGAAGTTGATATTTAAATTCACCAAAAAATGTAATATGCTTTGCTAAGGACATAACAAATTATAAAACTGTGACTTAGAAGTTGAAAAAGTTTCAGCTTCAACCTAATACCTTCACTAATTTACAACATGAAACAAGGATAGATCTAAGCATATTTACCTTGTAAACAGAAATTTTTGAAACAAACATATGAAACAAACTTGATAAAGGAAAACCAAACAACAAAAACTTCTTAAAATGTATTCAGTTGTATTAAGATTTTGTTGGAAAAAGACAAGTTATGAATAAAAATAACACATGCTACATACAGAAGGATGCTCTTCTTGTTTTTGTTGCTCTATTCAAAATAGAGAAAGAGTTTGGCCACTTTATTTTTACTATTATACTGATACAGCAGCCTTCATTCTTTTCTTCTTGATAAGAAAAGCATATATTCGACACATCAATGGCCATGATTGCTTCAAGCTAAGCAGGGATGAGGAAATCGAAATAGGGGCACAATGGAGCTCTCACAATGCATGCACGTAGGTGTCTCGATGGTTTTCATTCACTTCGTAGCTGCCATATCAATGGCAAAGAAAATAGGTTTTGATTGGATTTGGCAGTAGCTTTCTCCTAACAATATTTTCAAGAGATAGGATTGCTTAGGGTTGAATTGCCAATTATTTCCTGCTTTAAGAAGCAGAATAAAACAATGACTCCAAGATTCAATGTAATTAGTTCTCCTGTTGACTTGTGTTTTTAATGTTAAATTTCTATTCCTCTGTGGGAAGAATTGACAAGTACCACTCTTTCTCCTGTATTCACTAATAACCTTGAAAACCGAGTGGACATGTTTGACAACTTATTTCTGTGTCTCTGAGATCAAAGCTCTGAAGAGCTGTGAGACCAAAGTGCTAAGGAGATGGGACATGAGATATAAGAGGAATAATTTTGAAAATATTTAACTATATAGATTGTGGGTTTTATTCTCCCATCACATATCATGTTCCTTTATCATCATTTAAATAAGACAGCACTCAAAGGAAAGGTGGCACACCCATGTTTATTGCAGCATTACTCACAGTAGTCAAAAGGTGGAAGCAACCTAAGTGGTCATTGACAGAGAATGGATAAAGTGAGGTTTATCAACACAATGGAATACCATGTATCACAGAAAAGGAAAGGAACTCTGTCATATGCTACAACATGCATGAACCTTGAGGACATTATGCTAATTGAAATAAGCCAGTCATTAGAACAGTGTTGTATGATTCTACTTCTTTGAGGCATATAAAGTAATTGGATTCATAAACAGGAAGTAGTACGGTTGCCAGGAAGAGGGAGAAATGGGGAATTAATGTTTAATCTGTGTAGAGTTTTAGTTCTGTGAGTAACAGAGTTCCAAAGATTGGTTGGTCAACAATGTGAATATACTTAACACTACTGAATTAAACACTTAAAAATAATTAAAAGGGTACATTTTCAGTTATGCATATTCAACCATAATTTATAAAAATATATTTTAAAAGAAGAGGGGTGGTACTTATCACATCAGAAAGAAGGAAAAAAGAGGATAATGCTTATTGATATAAAAATGAAGAAAGTGGACATCATACCATTGAATCCCTGGAAAATATGCAAAATAGGAAAGAGAATTGATATGAAGCGAGGTCTAGCCTCTCTGTCTTTGTTTCCTCTCTGGGGATGTGTCCTGACATAAACGTCCAGGGGAGGGGGGTGATATGAAAATTCTGACCTGGCAGCATCAAAGTAATTGTCCTGGAGTAGACTGGAAGGACACAGGCCTGTAGGAAAACCCACGTCCTTTTCATCCAGCATGGAATAGGGATGCTATCACAGCATTTGCAAGAGAGGTAGCTGGATGGATGAAGCTGACACAGTACTTCTCATCCCTCTTTCCTTTGGTGAAGGCTAAGGGTGGAGATGTTCTGTATGCTAAGAGGATACAGAAAGGATGCTGATATAATGTTCCAGGAAACAGGCCACCTACAGATACTGTCTGAGAGAAGCAGAACAGCACTGTGATAAAGACAGAACATGAACTCTGAAACCAGTCTGCCTTGGTTTTTATACCTGGCATCTTTACCTTCTAGCTATGCACATTTGAACAAGCTATTAATTACCCCTCTGTACTTTAATTCCCTTCTTAAGATACAGTAATAATAATACCTATATCACTTTGATCTTTGAGGATTAAATGAGTTCATACATATAAAAGTCCTTGTATAACATATTCCTTAAAAAATGTTAGTCATTATTTTTATTTATTATCATTATTGTTATTATTATCTAAGGGGAATGTGGTGACAGTGATGAAATATATACCTAAAAAAATAAGTCACTCACCTTTAAACAGAAGGCTGAAAGTTTCCATCTATTGTCATCTAATTAAACAAGAGTTAGGGAAACACATCAGATCAGTTGTTGGAAAAACATTAAAGGATTAAATGCTATTTTTTTGTATATTGAGTATAGTGTGAATTTATATATATATATATATAATGCTCCAATATTTCTAATCTGCATGCCTGTACCTAACATTAGTGGGACCTGGAAAGATACAATTAGAGGCCCACATACCATCAGCAAAAATACTTTAATACAAGTTAAGCTAATAAACTGTTAAATATACCTCCTGTATATTTGCTTTGAAACTTACACCTTCAAAATGAACTGGAAGCCAGGCTCAAATTTAAAGTTATCATGGAGTTACATGCTGGCACCTGGTGGAGCAGGTAAGTGGGTTATATCCCTTGATTCTCAGCTGCCCCCTTCTCTTCCCACTGTCCATCTCTGACCTGCCCTGGAAGAGGCCTGATGCACATGCATTTTGTCAGCCTAGCCCTCACAGTCAAAGTCCGTCTATAACCCTGTAAACAGGCACCCGTGTCCCACCCCTCACACCAAGAGTTACAGACATCAGCAACGTGGGCCAGCTTCCTGGTACCTGAAACATGGTATTGCTGGGGAAGAGCATGCACTTGAGCATATCTCTTTAACTCAATCAACTCCTTGCCCTGCAGAGAGGACCTTGGCCAGAAGACCAGAGCAGGATTTGCTCATGTCCACAGCCTAGAGCAAGAGCTCTTTGTGCCTGCATATGAGTGGCAATGTGCACCAAAGACTGATTCCAAATCCCTCAGTTACAACTGGAGAGCAAAACCATTCAAAGTTAGAGACCATCCCAACCCTGAAAGAGAAAGAACATATAGCAGATGCTAAAACATAGCCCACAGATAGAGGAATGGAAGTGACATAGAAGGTTATCTCTAAGCCCTTTCTTGAAATCAGGCATTTTGAAAAGAAAGATCACCTTCCAGAAAGAGAAGCCCAGCTCCAGTAACAGAAACTCAGGCTATGAATATAATGACCAGAGATGTGCTAGTTTTTTGTTGATTATAAAAAATACATTTATTTTACATTTAACACCTTGAAATTGGAATGTTTCCTATAATTGACAGTGCTTTACAATTGCCATCAGCCAAGCAACAGTTGTGAGATGGTTGTCCAACACCCAACCCACAACCCACATCACTGTTTTGATCTTGTACCTAATTCTCCTTTGCCTCTCCTATCTCCCTGCTTGGAGAATTTGCTCACAGTGATAGCCAGGCCCTTGCTCAATGTATTCCCATCTTCCCACAACTCCCTCCTCACTCCCAACCCAATGCACACACAGATGAAAATCTGTGTAGAGATCTTCAGCTCTTGCTCACAGACCCAAGCTGCACACTAAATATTTCCAGCTTACTGCTTTTGAAAGGTTCCTGCATTATATTGAGAAATAGTGTTTCATAGTGTATACTAAATTCAACTTAGTTTTGAATTCATCAGACCAAATCCCTATGTGTTCCTATTGTAATTCTTCCCTCCAGCATAAATAATTCCTCTGCATTTAACAAATCTTTGTAGCGGGTCTTCAGCTCACAAGCTTTAGATATCCTCTGATATCAATTGTAAATCTGCTGAGCTATGAATGGTCCCAAGCAGCTCTCTGCCGAGCAATCATTTTAGCTTCTGACAATCTATGGTTAGCTGAAGCTACACAGATCAAAATAAGAATATGAGGCATCCTTAGTTATCCCAGCGAATCCCGAGGGGAAATGAGTGTTCTCCACTGAGGCATCACTGGAGATTAGTAGGTTTGACCCAGCTGAGAGTGATGATGGTAAAGAGGGCCATTCATATTGGGGGAAAACTGGCAAATACAATTTAATACTTAGATCTATTTATCCGCCCTATGGTAGTTTAAGTAGACTTTCTAATGCTGCTCACAGTCTAAGAGATTTATTACTTAAAATTTTTTTCTGGGATTGAAATACTAAGACTGAGCCTTTCTATTCATATCTGGGCCTTGGACCATTTTTGTAAGGAGTCAGGCCAGCAGTATGTGGCTTTATATCCATGAAAGGCAATCTGTAGAGAATGTGTCAAAAGCACACAGTGAGTCATCTTATTTTTCTTTGCATCAAAAATTGCAGAATTTAAAGACATTAGAAGACATTAAAGACATTATCTGCTAGATTATAGTGAACAGAACCTGTGGCAGACAGAACGTATTTATTCAGTGTGCAGCTTGGGCCTGTGAGCAGGAGCTGAATAGTTCCCTATGCTGATTTTCGGCTGTGTGTGCAGTGGGATGGGGAGTGAGGAGGAGGGTGTGGGAAGAGGGAAATACATTGAGGGGGGCCTGGCTATCACTGTGAGCAAATTCTCCAACTGGGGGAGAGGAAAGGCAAAGGAGAATTAGGTACCTAATTAAGGTACCTAATTGGGCTGTGAGTTGGGTGTAGGACTTCTCAGTGAAGTTTCCTTATTTTGCCCCTTGACCACAGCCTTACCTTTCTCTCTCCACCCTTCTTTTCCACCACACTCCCTGTGGGTTTCCTACCTTCTCCCACCATCTTGCCACCTCTCTGTTTCAAAAATAAAACGCAGCAAAGTTGCATATGTGAACTTAGTTTAAATTTCATCATTTAAGTGTGCTAGAGTCTTAACTAATAATAGAAAATGAAGTTTATCTCAAAATTTCTTTTGAGATAATACCCACATTAATTAATACCCACCCAAATTCTTTGCCTCCAACATGGCTTCTTCCTTGCTTTCTGACCCTACTAGGTTTTGTCATGACCTCTTACTTTGATCTCTATTCCTTTTTCTTGAGTGACAAAAAGGTGCTAGAAGGTGGCAGAGGAGAAGGTGAAAGATGATGGAGTGATAGAAAAGCTGATGCAGACCCCATGTAGGATTTATCTTATGTTTATCTCAATGTCTCCTTGATTTTAAAAAAAAGTGTACTCTGAATGAAATGTTTTAATTGTTTTAGCTATGTCAGACCTAAAGGTTACCCCTTTTGGGGAATTTTTATGAAAAATAATATAAACTGTGAATACAAGTATAGGTAAAGACTGTGACAAAGGCATAAAGTCATCTCATTTTTCTTTGTATCTAAAAATTGCAGAATTTGAAGTTATTATAGTCATTTGCTAGATCACAATGAGATTTTGCTGCATTGTTGACTATTCTAGTTTTTCTTCTGTTAATAGGCTTCTAGAATTTGTTTTGCAAAATTACATGTCCTCCACTGTTCGTAGTTTCGGTGAGACTGTCAATCATGGTATACTGACCTCCCTTGGGACAAGTGTTGTCCACTTCAGGCCATCTTGACATCTGAACTTTGAGTCTTGAGTTAATGGATAGCAAATATAAAACACATGTACATTTTGGAGATATTACCTGTAATTAGTAGTATGTTGCTAAAACTGTCACTCCTGCCACTTAACTTCCCTGAGCTGTACCTGTTCCTACCCCACTGGCCTGGCTGTCTTCAGTGTCCTCACTGATTGTGGTGCCATCCCAAATCCCTCTAACAAGCTCCCTTTTACTTAAATCACTAGGGTTTGTTTGTATTGTGTACAACTGAAGAAAATCAACTCACGCAAACATTGCTGACATAGTGAGATGATAGATAATTTTAAGAGTAGGTAGCTACACTGTAACATGTCTCTGATTTCCTAACTGTGCAGATATTTATTTAAATATTTATATTAAAGTTTTGAAAGAATGATTAAGGTGGACATTGGTACTTTGTGAGACTGCAAGAAGATGTGAAAGATTTAGTAAGGGAGCAATTGCAAGCAATCCTCTATGTGGAGAAAACATTGCACTGAGAAGACAATTCTGGTATTCCTCAATCCAGAAGGGTTTAGAGCTGGGATAGCAGTCTGAAATGTCTGTAGGGAATGAGCACTAATGCAAATGGATGAGTCATCCAGGATACTCTCACTACCACGAAGAAATATTCCAGCCCATTTTTCCTCAACAGCTCCTTCAGTCTCTCTTTTCCATTCCTACCTATGATAGAGACATGTGCCCAGAGACATACTGCTTGACTCCACAGAAAACACCATTGCCAGGGTAAAGATAAAATGAAACTCCTCCTTTTCTTCAGAGAAACAACAGGATTATAAGCACTCAGGCACTAGACAAAATATGCCCTTCACATGGGGCAACACTTCTCAGCTCTGGCCAATCTCTGCCTTGTAAGAAGGCTGGCTTGGAATTGTTACATCTTCTGATTTTTTTTAAAGATTTTATTTATTTTTAGAGAGAGAGAGGGACTGAGGAAGAGAGAGAGATAGAGAAACATCAGTGTGTGGTTGCTATTTGTGTGCCCTCCTTTACTGGGGACCTGACCTGCAACCCAGGCATGTGCCCTGACTGGGAATCGAACTGGCAACCCTTTGGTTTGCAGGCCAGCATTCAATCTACTGAGCCAGCCAAGCCAGAACCATCTTTTGATTTTTTAAGTACTCAAAAATATCCATGATTTTCTTAAATGTACAATAATACTTGTTATATATTGGTAACCAAATTTGATTTAAAATATTGGGTTAAAATAATATTTTCAGCCCAGGAAAACAAGTATGCATTCTGTTCTTGGCCTATATACACTAAGCAGCTGAGATGTGATAATTGATAGATTTGAGGCATGTGAAATACATATCAACTTCAATATTTAAGAAAACAAGTTTTTTTGCAAATCAACCTCATCAGCTAGAACAAGCCACCATGGTCATAGAGTAAATCCCAGGGAATAGCTTGGCGAAATCTTGCAAGGTCCAGCAAGTAATGGAGGATGAGCAGAGAAGGGAGGACTGCTGGTGCTGGTAGCTCTAAGGACATATTGATGCACTTTGCTGGGCCGGACAGTTGAATCATACCTGGGTTGGTGAGTGATTATTCACCTCATATTATATGTAAAGAAATAAGTGAAAAAAAAACCATAAATATTGATATTCCAAATTTAGTTTTTTTACCTCCAATCTTGGAAGTGCCCAAAGCTAACAAAGAATGTTGCATCAATACTAAGTTGCTTTTAGGCTACTGCATTATACTACATGGGTTACCTAGAAAAATGAACCACTGTTTTGCCACTGAGCACCTTCGAACAAAGAAGAGAATAAGATTGACAGCACTGTTCAGATCCATTAGTCAAAGTATAGTAGCTTTGGACAGGTAGTTTCCAAAATACATCAGCCTCATTTACGCCCAACAGTAACAACAGACAATGGGCATTTTTCTACAGTGACACAAGGCTCCCAAATACTAAGGCAGAAAGTGGTTTTTGACACACACCATTTTTAGGAAAAGGATTGGAAGTGGGAGGTGAATGACAGACTAAATATCTGTATTCCAATGATTATAGAGAAGAAAGAAACAACCTGATTTACTTAGGAGCTAGGTTAAGAGCATTGAGGGAACAAAAGAAGGCAGGCAGAAATCGACTAGTATGATAAATAGTAATTTTCTGAAAGATAGGCCACAAATTTCTACATGTGTCTAAGAAAGCAGAAGATTCTGCCTGTTCCTGAAAATTTTTGTTCTAATAAATGCCACTACACTACTTATTGATTTTATGTGATTCATTCCTTATACTCCAGGCATCCTGCATACCCAAATTTAAAATGAACATAATTAATTTGGATTTCAGCAATATGCAACCTGAAAGTAGAACTGGCTCACCTGACTTTTCCTGCTGACTGATGCACTGAGTGGGATGTGCATTTTATCTGTTTTTAATCTGGGTTAACCCTATGCTCCCAGGCTTCTGTTATTGGATGAAATGTGCCAACTCTATGAAAGTAAATCTGATTGCTTAATAATACAGAAAATAATATGTAATTTACTTGAACATATAATAGTAACTATGTGGCAGGTAATACATCTTTTATCTCATTTAAATTTTAATTGTCACATCAAAATATCAACTTAATCATGACATGCCACTTCTGCTTTTACATTTGAGAGCACCACAACACAAATAAGCTAAGTGATTAGCTCAATATTACACATTTTATAAGTAGGACAGCCAGAATTTGATCTTAAGTCTTTCTGATTCCAAACTGAGCATTGTTCATTCATCTATGCTGACTTATGGCAGAATGAGTGAGAGCTGACCAATGAGAGGAGACGTGTTTACATATGATAGTATAGGCCAGGGTCGGCAGGCCACAGGACACATAAAAAGATGTTCCTCTGTAGCAGGGCATGCAAGGGCCTTAAGAGAAAGATGTGTGTATCCACATCCACCCCCAAAAGTATACAACTTAGTGGTCTTTTACAAAAAGCAGCCTGGTGAATGTGCACTGATCAAATGTCAGTGTCACTGAGTGTAGGGCTGGGAATGTCCACATAAATTCATAGTGGCTTTGCCATATCTAGAAAGAAAGGGCCTGGGGTAGCTATCTGATAAGAAAGGGCAACTAGGGAATTTGTCTTGAATCTACACTTGCATGAAAAGAAGACTGTTTGTGTCCAATATGTATTGATTTGAAGTCATTTGAAGCTTGAAGGAAATCAAGAAGAGCTAACATGCTTCTGAGCCCACTATCCCACTCCAATGACTTAAAGGAAGAGTAGGGAGGAGAATCATGGATGAAGGGAAAGGTAGGACAGCTACTTGGTAACTTTGAGGTGGCTTTTGGATTAGCAGTAATGAGTTCAGATTGATATTGGAAGAAGGATGAAGTGGGTGTTGCAAAGGAAACTGACAGGGCCTTGGTACAACTGGCATTATCTCTGGCCATGATGTAAAGGAAAACTCAGCAGAGAAGCCATGGTTCATTGGCAGTGAGAAAGAAACCACTTGAGGTGGCCGGCATTACTGGGTCTGACAAGGACCGTCATAGAGACAGATGGCCGCACTGTGCTGTGCAGAGAGATCTGAGTAGTGCTGGGGTAACAAGACAACTAAAGGGCATTTTGGCTACATGTAAGCCAGTCATGAGAGAATAAAGCAATGCCTGTGGGAAATACGTTGTTTTGCTCTTGTAAAGGGGTTGGGATGGGAGACTTAAACTGACTTTTCTTCATGTCTCACTTTCTTCATTGAATCTACCCTCTTCCTCCACAAATATTTTTTAAAAAATAGTAAATAAAAATACCTTGGATTTTCCGTGGTCTCCTTTGTCTCCTAAAAAGAAGAAGTATATTTTCTGTAGGCTACATTAAAAAACTTATTTTACTGAAGTTCTAGAACAGGTTTGCAGCAACGTTAAACAGCAGGAGAGAGGGCCCGAAGTCACACTCTCATTTGCATGCTACCATGGCTCAGCATTACAAAAACTGCTTTAGACCTTCCTCAGGAAGTGTCTTCATTCCCGCTGACAGCAGGATTAATGGCCACACTCAGAAGAAAATCAACTGTCAAAAAACGTTTACTTCTTATAGTTGTCTTCTCTTTCTTTGTGCCATGGAAGCCTTTTTTGGCAGACCCTGGAACCTGTGAGAGGAAGCAGAAGGGTGTAGGTAGTTCACAGCATCTTGGGAGGGCTGAGGAAATAGACTGCAGCAAGAGCTTCCAGAATTACCTGCATGTCCGCACAGTGGGCTACAGATCTTCTGCCTCTCTGCCTCCCCAGAAATCACTCCAATTTCTATTTACGTTATATGTATTTATTTTTGGTGAGCAAAGTAGCTTATATTCTTGTTGTCTCTCCAACAACAGCTCCAGTAACATCCACTATTGGCCTAGCTAGGGTCTCTTGTTCTGCAGCTGGAATCTATAAGGTGCTCACAGCACCACTGGTAGACACACAGGTTGGGATTGTACATGCGCTATGTGCAGAGAAGATGGCTCCTGACCTAGGAAGCAGCAGGATCTCCGTTATGGGCTTAGGCCTGCCCGCACCTCAGGCTCGGCCTCTTGCTCTATTTTCCTTCTAGGAACAACTGCATGCTCATGTCCCAACAGGAGAAGAACAAGGCAAGGGGCACCCAACTCACGCCCCTTTGGCAGAGGGGAGCACATCGGTAGTCACCGCCCATGTGGATTGTGTGCGAGGGCGCACAATCACGTGCATCAGGGACCCACTGCACTGCCACTTACTGCTCATTGGAAAGTTTCTATGAAATGGATCTCACACTAAGAGATCTGAAGAGAGATCAAGGAATCATTTTAAATCTCTTGGCTTAATGTAGCATGCAGATACATAGATGTGGCCTTTTCAGCATTTGGACACATTCTGGGACTATCACATTTCACATGCTTTACAATCCCATTAAGCAAAGAGCTCACAACCTAATAAATCTGAGGTAACTATTATGTGGCATCAGGGCTCATGGATTATAAACTGCATTGTACAAATCCCTCTGGGGCGAGAAGTGAGGGAAGCTGTGGACCCTGTGTCACCAGCTATAGCTTTTGCTCATCCTCCCAAACCGGAAAGTGCCTTGGCCATCTGCAGAATCTGTATGCAACACTTTTACAGACTTTCTGGAGTCTGTAGCTCAAGGTCAGAAGCCATTATCTTAGAAAGGTGTTAGAAGTCAACATGTCACTTCTGTGCCATAATAATATTGAAATAAGGATAAAGAAGAACAATACACATCCATTCCTTTTCAAGGGAAAATAAAACTTACTTTTAAGATACTTTTTAATACAGTTATACCCTTTCCTTGAGGTATAAAAGTAAAAGAAAATTAATATAAATCCAGAAAAAGAAAGTGCCTATGTGAAACTTATTCCTAGAGAAGTTATTTGTTTCAGGCATTTAACCTTTATATCATTAGGCTGAAAGAACAATTAATTACTGATCCCAGACAAAAGCACTGATATAATTTTGGTTTAAATAAAACAGAGTCTATTTTTAATGAATCATAAATTTACAGAGGGCTTCTTAAGGACTCAGAAAACAGGGTCTATATCTTTAAGGAACTTTACCTCTTTGGAGGGAAATAAGACTAAAATGCATAATACTATTAGCAAAGAAAGACAAGCAGTAAATTGTGGTTCATACCATGAGAGCAAGAGATAAATAACAGGCAAAATTTGGCATTATAAGGCATATTCAGGTTATAAATTAGAATATAATTTATTGCATTTATTTTTTTAAACCCTAGCATTTTATCTCTTAGGAAATAATGTTCCCAAAGTAGAGGCAAGAGATAACTTAAAGAAAATTTAGGCATTGCCCTTGTGGTACGAATAAATTTCTAAGGCTGAAAACAAGGGCTGGAAGGGAAGAGAGTTCAATCACATATAACCCCGAATATGATGTCTTTGTTACAATGACAGTATCAACTCCCAGAAACCTCATTAAATATGTTCTTCAAATTGGGACTTTGATCCAAAATATCATTTATACCCTTCCGTAAGTCTTCATCTGAGGAACTTACATCATGGGAATATTTTTATACATCTGAACAAAAATACATGGTTCTGTTCAAATATTTAAAAGAAGAATGCAGGTATAAATACAGTTACTTTTACAGATGGATACTCCTTTGTGTCATACACGTGTTCTTGCAAATTTTTGTCTACTAGGAAGTATGAATTATACTAAAGAAAAAGTGACATGACCTCTTGGTTATGCAAAGTAGTCATTACATTTTCAAATAATTTCTCACTAATTCAAATCCTTAAGTTTTGATTTTGTTCACTTTTCTTAAAGAGATGGCTCTTTATTCTGGAACAAAAATTTTATAAGTACTATTCAGGCTTCATGGATACATTAGTTTCTTGTTGCTACTACAAAAATTATGGAAAATTTAGTGGCTTAAAACAACACAAATTTATTACCTTATACTTCAGGAAGTCAGAAATCCAAAAGCAGTCTCAGTGGGCTAGAATCAAGTTGTTGGCAGCACTCCATTCCTTCTGGCACCTCTAGGGGAAAATCTGTTTCTTTGCCTTTTCCAGCTTCTAGAAGCTGCTCATATGCCTTGGCTCATGACCTTGCATCACTCCCACCTCTCCTTCTATTTTCATGATTCCATCTTTCTAACTCTAACCCTCCCACCTCCTTCACACAAGGAACCTTATAATTACACTGGGGCCATCTGGATAAGCCAGGATAATCTCCTCATCTCAAGAACCTTGATTTAATTACATCTGCCAATTACCTTTTGCCATGTAAGATAACACATTCGTAGGCTCCAGGAGGAGATTGGGATATGGACCTGTCCAGGGGGCCATTATTCAGCCAACAACAGTGGGAACCACCAAGCATTTATGGCCTTGATCTTTTTCTTGTAGAAGTTCCTTACAGACATTACCAATAATTCTGACCTCAATTATTCTGTGTCAGTGTAAGATTGTGGATCCATTTGTTTCTGCTCTGCAGGTTTGTAAACGACTGTGTAGTGGCTGCATTTTCTAGGGTATACATGGGTGAGAGTCATCTTATCCTTGCAGAAGCAGGTAGGTAAAAAATGGAAAAAGGGATGACATTGGCTAAAGCTTGGAACTAGGGTACATTGAAAATGGCTTTAAAAAATGCTTGGAGATACTCTGTCAATTTAATGCACTGGACTGCCTCTGTCCCCTTTACTGTAAGTAATTAAGAGGTGGCAGTCCATGGAAATTCACAACTTCTCTTATAAACTATGTTCAACTGAAGTGACAAGTTACTGAGAAAAGAATAGGCTATCAACAATGGTTTTATATTTTTAAAACAATACTTTCCACCTAGTCCAGATAGAAGTAACATGCTGTGCAAAACTATACATCATGTAGCAACAGCTAAGAAGTCACATATATCACTATCAATGCTGCCTGTATAAAGGCCAAAAATTACCATATCTAACAATAATTTTTACTTTCACAGAGAGAAATGGAAAAAGAGAAAGAAACCAACTTATTCTTATAAATATTCAGTTTAACATATAGTGAACAAATAGATGTGTAAATTGACTTTGATGAATACTTGTGTTAAATGTGGTTATTTATTATGTGTTCCATTACATAAATTGGATGCAAAATTATAACAAATGTTCTTTATTAATCTTACCTTCTCTGGGGCTAGAGGATGACTCAAGGCAATTATCTTTTATGGACTTCAGCATCATTAGTGCTGATGTGCTGAGGAAGGCAGACACGTTCTAATAATACACAGAAAAGAGAAACATGCCTTTTCTTCACTTCTTACATGGAGAGATGTTATTTCTCAATACAGTTCCTTCATTTCCAATTAAATCCATGAAGTTGCTAGTTTCTGGTATTTTTGCAGTAACAGCAGCTGTAGGTGTAAGAAATATCTCACATATTATGTTCCTTATGGTATGACATTTGAAATTTAAACAGATGGCATATAGATCCTGGTCTTGAGAAACTTTGAGTTTACCCAAAATGGCACAGGTGCTTTCAGGCCACATTTGGCTACTTGGTAGGATCTTCCAGCATTTGCACTAGGTCCAGTGACAGATTGCAGAACTGTCATACTGTTTTCCTCTTTGGCATGGGATATAAATAACTGAAAGATAGTAGCTTTCTGGAAAATAAAAGGAAATATTTCTTTCAAGAACACTTTTACAGCCCAACACTCGACCAGAATCAACAAGTTATCCCCATAGATGACCTGGTGCCACCTGTTATTCATCGGGGGTTGTTTTTTCAGTTGTGATTTTTTTACCTCCTGGCTTCTTCTCTTCCTCTCCCTTATAGACATGTCCTTGCCTTTTCAGCTCCCTTTATATTCCGAAGAGGGTAAAAAACCAAAGGAAAGAACAATAATTCATCCTGTTAATAATGTATCTCTGAAGATTGAAGGTGGGGTTGAATGGTACAGGCGAGGAGGTGCTTATAAATCATAATTATATAAAAGAATACAAAAAAGAATATAAAAAATAGCAGTGCAAATATGCAGTCAGGATAAGTCATAGTCAGATGGTACACCTATATTTTTCATTATTGTATATTTATCGAGCACCAGTGATGAGTGAGCCCCTGAGCTAGATTCTGGGTGTTAAAGATGAGAGGATGGAGAGAGAGGAAGTCTATTGCACCAGATCTGATAACAAGTAGACTGGCACCAGAAAGTTGCCTCATCTTGATGCCAGTTGTTCATCACTGAATATTTGTAAAATTTGTATGAGGGGGGACCCAAAAAACCCTGGAATTTATTTATAAAGAACTGAGTACTTGTTCTTACACATTTAAACTTCAGTTACCTTCAAATATTCTGCATTTGATGCAATACACCTATTGAGATTTTTTTGTACTGCTCAAAACAGTCTTTGAACTCAACAGTTTTGATGCCTTTTATTTAGTTCTTCTGCTGTTTTTTGTTTCACCTCTTCTTTATCAGCAAAATGTTCCCTTTGAGGACTTTTTACATCTGGGTAAACAAAAAAATATCACTTGAGGTGAGATCAAGTGAATAGGGAGAGTGGGGCACAGGGGTCAAAAATTGCTGAACACTCAATATGGGGAGAGTATGTGTGCTCATAAATCACCCATCATTAAATCGGCAAACATGATGAAAGAGCCTTCAAAGAAAATTTGCTAAAGCAGAACACAGCCTCTCATAACAACACCTGTACTAGCAGAAGAGGATAATTCCGGGTTTTTTGAGTCCCTCCTCACATATTAGAATTAGCTTCATCAATTAAAGAAAATAGTAAATTAAACAAGTTAAAGGTTATTTCATTAATTTTTTCCCCTCTCAGGTGAATATCCATGTAGGCAACCTAATGCTTGTATGACGTACCTTCTATCTTGTTATAATACTATGATTGGGTTCTTTTCTTAAGTCAACATCATGCTGCCAGATGGCAGAATAAGGAAAGGGAAGGAAAAGAGCATGTTTCCTCTCCCTTTAAGAATATTTGCTGCCATTTCATAACTTCCTTGCTACACGTAATTGTACAGATTTGGCCATAAGAGAGGCCAGGAAATGGGGTCTTGATACCAACTGGTCACATGCCCAGCTAAATATTGTGTATTCCGGGACTTTAAGTTTGCACTTAGGACATAGAATATTGTAAAGAGCACCCCTCCTGTATTTACAGGAGCAGATAACAATAACAACTGCAGCAGCAGAAATGCTAAACAATCTGAAAATTCATAACTTTTCTGAGCCCTTCAGAAAACTGATGATAGCCAACCTACCTGAAATGTAAGGTTAGCCATCCAAGAAGAGTTAGGACATGAGCACTTGCTTATATATGAGATAGATACCATCTTCACAGGTAAAAGTTCAACTTAATTTTTTTAAATTTTAATCTTTGTTCAAGTACAGTTTTCTCCCTTTTACTCCCATTCCAGCCCACCCACCCAACCCTCCCCACTTCCCTCCCATTACTACCCTCCCCCTAGTTTTTGTCCATGTGTTCTTTAAATTTGTTCCTGTAAACCCTACCCATTCTCCCCTGAGATTCCCTCTTCTCTCCCCTCTAGTCACTGTCAGTCTGTCCTCTATTTCAGTGACTTCGGTTATATTTTGCTTGTTTCTTTGTTTTGTTGTTTAGGTTTCTGTTAAAGGTGAGATTATATGGTATTTGTCTTTCACTGCCTGGCTTATTTCGCTTAGCATAATGCTTTCCAGCTCCATCCAAGCTTCAACTTAATTTTTTAATGAACTGCTGCATGCCAACTGTGAGCTGGCAAAAGAATATAGAATCTGGAGGACACAAACTCACAGAGAACTTGCACTCATCATAGGCTTTTCTGCAAAGGACCAGGAGCTCACACAAAAGATCAACAAGTGTCCTAAAAAAATGTGTCAATTGTGAAGTAGGCCTGGAGCAGCAAGGGCACTGAGGTGAAGCACAAATCATTTTCCCTTATATCTTCTGTGAAATAAGAGACTTACACTATTGAAGGGGACAAAACAAAACCCTCTACATCTGAGAGAGGTATAGAAGAAATACCTGCTTGGCTCAAATCTACAGTTAGGAGTGGAGTACCATCATTGAGGAAGGCCCAAGACTCTGGAACACAGTGCCTGCCTAAGACTAAGACTTGAAATAACAGAGAATGCAAACAACTCACTCACCAGGCTAATGAGCACTGAGTAACAAGCAAGAGCAGTTTATTTCATGAGGAGGGAATACGGCATGCAGAGAGACCCTTTTTGAGGAAGAGATCAAAGGGAACACTGAAAAATCAGAATGGAGCAGATATTTTAGAAAATCCCTCTGGCAAACCAGTCCACGTGCTAAATAAAAAGTAATCCTAGATAAGTTGAAGCCTATGTTATATGACAGTCATTATCACCACAACTCCAAAATCCATCTAAACTCATAACAGTAATGACTCAACCATCCCTACCTCAGACAGATGCATGCACATATCACACTAAGCCTGCCAGAAGACATGTGTTCATTTATAGGCCTAAGTATTTCCTTTTTACCTCAAACTCCACTGTCCTACACAAAATGGTCAATTCCATCTTTCAACAAAAAATTGTGAGGCATACAAAAACACACATAAAAATCTAAAGAGATGAAGCAGTCAACAGAACCAGACTCAGGTATGCACAGGTGTAGATGTATCCAGTATAGTATTTATATCATCATATGGTAAAAGTTCTAAAGACATGGTGAGCAACATGTCAGATCAGTTAGTAACTGAGCAGAGATAAAAATATGAGAAATAAACATCAATGCTAGATATGAAAAGCAGAGTGACAAAGAATGTTTTCAGTGGGCTTATTGGTAGATTCAATATAGCTGTGGAAAGAAACAATGAACTTAAACATGAGTCAGTATAAATTATTCAAAGTAAAACACAGAGGAAAAAATATATATATATGGGGAGAAAGAGAGAGAGAGAGAAGTACAGGAAATATTTAAAGAAATACTTGTTGAGAAATTCCAAAATGAATAAGATACCTAAAATGATAGATCCAAGAAGTTCAACTGAGAACATCAAGCAGGATAAATAGAAACATAAACTAACAAATAAGCAACCCAGTGAACAAAAACACCTAGGAATATTATATCCAAACTACTGAAAACCAAAGACAAAGAGAAGATCTTGAAGGTGACTGGAGATAAAAGACATATTACATACAGAAGGAAAATTACAGACTTATCATTAGAAACTACTCAAACCAGAGGGAAATGGAGTTACATTTTTTAACGTGATGAAAGTAAAAAAAAAAAGTCAACTCAGAATAAAGATCATTTTGTCTTATTTTTAAATTGGTCATAAAAGAGAAATGACTGCCTAAAGCAAAATAATATCAACATATTTTGTGTTTATAGCATATCTAAAAGTAAAATATATGGCAACAGCACAGAAAATGAAAGGAAGGAATCTGGAATTATACTGTTATGAAGAACTTTAACTATTGTGGAGTGCTACTAAATTATTTGATGTATAAGTTCTAGCTCAATCATGAAAGTGTTTGAAAGGGGTATTAAAAGTTGTTCTAGTGAGTGGGGACAGTAGACACCATTAAGTGGGCATGTATACTGTATGGCCATCTCATTAAAGGTGACTGAGTGATTACAGCAATGAATCTGCATCAAATTTTGTATTAAGCTTGAACATTCCCCTGTGGAAACTTTTTGGATGATTCAGAAAGCTTTTGGAGACAATGTAATGAGTGCAAATAAAAGTGTGGAACAAACGCTTCAAAGATAGTTGAGAAACTGTTGAAAGTGATCCACAGCCTGCAACAAGCAGAACACTTGAGAATGTCAAATGTGTGCAGGCTGCAAGCAACAAAGACTTCTGGCTTTTCCCCAAACTAAAATCACCTTTGAAAGGAAAAGATTTAAGACTGTAGATGAGATTCTGGGTAATACAACAGGGCAGCTGATGGCAATTCTAACAAATGATTTTGCAGAGTGTTTTGAACAGTGAAAGAGACACTGTGTGAGGTCCAAGGTGCCTACTTTAAAGGGGACTGAGGTGTCATTGTACTATGTGCAATGTATCTTGTATCTTCTTCAATAATGTCTCATTTTTCATAGTATGTGGCTGGATACTTTCTGGACAGGTCTCATGTGTACTCAGACCATAACACAATTAACTAGAAATCAATTTGAAAACTATCCAGAAAATCATAAAATATGTGGAAATTGAACAACTAACTTCTAAATATTAGGTATTCCATTATTTTTGAACAACAGAAAATGAGATATTGGGAGACAACAAATAGTTTATTCTAGATACAGACATATAAATACAGTGACTATGCTGCTGAAGTGACTCCATGTCAGGTCACTTAGGCAAAAATACTTACTGCAGTTGCTATGGACTGAATATTGTGTCCCGCAACATTCATATGTTGAAACCACCTAACTTGGAGGTGGGGCCTTTAGGTGGTAGTCAGGTTTAGATGAGGTCGTGAGTGTGGGGACCACAGGATGGGGTTAGTGAACTAATAGAAATAAACCAGATCTTTGCTCTCTGTCTGTTATACAAGCACACAGTGGAAGCTGTGAGCACACAGTAGGAAGGCAGCGGTCTGGCAAGTCAGAAAGCAGACCCTCATCAGGAACTGAATCACCTGGCACCTTGATCTGGGACTTTCCAGCC